TCAAACAAAATTCACCACACAAAACACAGGAGTAAACAAACGAGCGCATTCTACGAACCGAGGTAAGTGAATGAGCTCTGTGAATGAGTCAACCGATTTTTTTAAATAAAAAGCTTAAAAGCTTAGAAAGAGACAAAATCTAGTACATTTCGTTGAACGGGGAGTGCTCCGCATTTCCTTTATTGTTTTCTTTTGTTCTCTTAAGCCATGTTGTGTGCACACACGCGCGACGTTGCCACATTTCTATTGGAATTTTGCAACTACGGACATTCAATATCGTTGATGTAAGTTTGGCAACGTCGGCGTCACGCGTGCAGTGGTTATAATGGGGTAAGAGAGAATACCTTCTTTATTAAATAAATCTCTTCAAAATTAATCTTGTGATTTGAGGCATATCCACTTTATTCTTTCGTAACATGGAACCAGTGTAAGTACGTAAATAACTCTACCTAATTCCGACCTCTGGTGATTATTCCATCGATGGCGAACTTACTAACATAACCACGTCAGATGAAGAAATAAGTTCAGCCACGGACTGAATTGAAATGATCAATAACCGAAAAATAAATAAATAAATGTTATTAAAAATAGGGAAATAGTTTTACAGCTCTATATAGTTCACACGGAAATAAAAACAAAACAACAATAAATTAACTCGTTCAAAATTGAAATTATAGACTTTAAATTTAATAATAAGTGGGCATCATTGACCTACCAAGGTCAATGATGGACATGGAAATTAATATTCGTATGCATTCGGAAATTCGATGATTGTCGAGAGACAATGAGAAAAAACAGTATACAGTAATTCATTTTTATTTTTTAAATATTATACAGCCAATTTAGGAAGGTTTTTTAAACAGCGTGTTAAAATATTTTGTTGCCACGTCAATTTCCAGGTAAATTTAATTAAAATTAAACCTTAAGAGTTGCGGATCTTTCTGATTGCTAACCCGACGGTAACGTGATTTCAGTGCTCATATTAATTTCTGCTATCAGCTCGACGATTTGCGCGTACTTGTGCGAACAAAATGCTGTCTCTGATGTAATAAAACTTGTCTGGATTACTGTAGTTTTTTCTATTGAATTTGTAACTTTAACAAGAATTCCAACCTCGTTTTGGAAGGAAGCTTTCCAGCGTTTATAACAAGTAAGCTAACGTCAATGGAAAGGTCGTGAGGTCGAACTTCAATTTCTAAAGAATATGCAGCGATCTTTACGACAAAAGAGTTTGTAACGATGATTTAATTTTGGAATACTTTTAAAATTTCATTTCGTCGACAATTACGATTTAAAATTCGAATTCATTTGATGTTTTAAAAATTTTAGCGTTTTGCTTTTTCAATAAAACAGTAGGTATGAATAAGTAGTATTTTCAAAACATGTCTGGTGGGCGGTAATTATGGGCATGCATTTGTGATATTGTTACTATTATAGATATTTTTCTTTTGTGAAAAATTATTCGATTTTGTCCAAACTAGTATTATAAATGCGAAAGTTACCCTTTTTGTTAAGTTTTCACGTCTAAACCATTCATGAATTTTGGTATAGAGATAGATGGGACCTAGGAGAAGGACATAGCCACTTTTTGCACACAAAAATAAATCTTAAAGGACGTGAAATAGGGGACGAAAGTTTGTATGGAGTATCATTAAAAATATGGAAATTAGTATAGTCTACTCGAAGTACTAATTCTTCGCAGACGAAGTCGCGGGCACCAGCTAGTAACAAATATACAAACTCCATTACGATGTGTTCGTCAAGTGACGGCACTTGATATTATAAAACAATGGGACATTCAATTTCAACTTACGTCACAGGGAGAAGGGTGCACTGGATCTTTGAGATTTAAAGTTCTGAGTGGCCCTGCAAGTGTTATGTACAGGCGTATCGCAGACCATGACCACGACTTGTTCGACCCGTCACTTGATATTATAAAAAAAAGTAAAATGCGAATTATTAATGTGCAAAACAAGTTTTTTCCATGTTGGTAATTTTTTCAATTAATCACTTTTTCTAAAAAAAAAATCGACCTTAAAAATTTGTTTGTCGGCTGGCTGCCAGCAAGGTATCCCTAAGCTTACTGCAGTTTGTTTTTATAGCTATGTCCATTCATCATTGAAATTTCAAGTATAATAACATACAATTAAGGCACATTATTATTCGTCACATAAAGTCGTCCCGTTAGTGAGCGTCGCCGGGCCCATTATTTTGCTATGCTATACTGTTATATTACGAATTACAATTTTACTCGATCACATGAATATTTAAACAATTTAAGTTCATAATACAAACTGAATCGTGGCAAGTTCTATGGCCTCGATGAGGCAATAAAACGGATCAATAGCGACAATACCGTTCGATATGCAATAAATTCGTCTCTGCCACCGCTAGCGACGGAGTCACATGGAATACAATTGCCAACTGCGGTTGAGGATATTATTTCTAACTTTGAAAGCATTTACCGATAACAGCATAACTGAACTGTGTAATTTGAAAATAATTTCAAAAAGTACACCTAGCTACAGTTTCAGCTGTACAGTGAGATTTTTAATGTAAGTAAAATTTTTGCTGAGTATTGTACAATATTCAACAAAAATTTTTGGTTTTTGTTTGTTTGATCTTTAACCCGTCACGAGTCTTGGAGACACAATGTGTCCCTAACGGTTTTGGTACTTTAGCGTCTTAGTGCCATACAGGATCTCTAACATGCATTGTTTTCATCTACCATTTAAAAAGAAAATTAAAAAAAATACCAAAAGTGTTAGAGAAACCGTGTGCCTATAAAACGCGTTATGGGTTAACTGTGGCCCAGCTAATGATAAATGCTTAAATTAAATATATACGTAGTTTAAATTTCATCCCTACTTTTGTATTCTCATTTCCTAATTCCATACGTCATTTCTACTTACGTAGCAATTTTCGTTACATTTTCTCGCTCGAAGAATATGACACACCCTTGTAACTCTATTCACGGTTATTTATTTATTGTCAATTAATGTTAAGGAAGACGCTGGGCATCGATTGATATCGTTTCCATGGCAATTATATTTCTTCTAAAGTAATTTTTGGAAGCACTTTATATAAGGCAATCGTTAGATATGTAAAAGTATTTGCACATTGTTGTTTGGAAATAGACAATACTTTAAAACATAGTCATGACTAACATTCGTCCTGAAAGGGGAACGCCACGCTTTTATAAGTAGATAGAATGAAAAAAATAATTGTGGCGTAGTAGCGGACGTAGCAACCGTACCGCGTAGCAGGTGCTACGGAGTGCAGTCCGCTTCCTGTTATTATCAAGACGTGTTTCCGTCGCGAAACTCATGTTATATTTAAAATGGACTGTGAGATCTACATAAAAAAATTATTAGGAATTTAAACCCATATACATCACCAAGGAAAACTCATATCATAAGTGTTCTTTTATTATCGTCACCTGTACAGAGATGGGAGATGTCCACAACTGAATATAGTCTCCGTACGATACTGCAACTTACTCTCTGATCGTGTGATGAACGAAAGAAGCCTCCTCCCATGACCGTTCCTTTCTTATACGTCCGGGGAATCCTGGGTAATATGTATAAATGGTGAATCCTTTCACCACGACGGGTCGGGCTCGACCTGCGGCGCGTGGTCTGGTTCGGATTACGGGGTGTGCTTATGCTCTTCGGTGGCACAGCGATTAGTACTATGGGCGCTTGATGAGGAGGTTCCAGATTCGATTCCCGATTTGAGCCAATTAATAATTTATGAAACAAAAATTTTTAAGATGGTTCTGGGCCGTGATTTTTATTCAATTCAGAATCGACCCGATCGGGTAGCCCATCCGCAATATTATACGCCTCGACTCGGAAAACACGCAGTTTCCGATCGGGAGAGGCAATCAAAATCAAACTGCTGGCATGGGGTCCCAACTCATACAAAATATTTTTAGTACAAAAAAATAATCATAGATGCCGCCATGGATAGCCTGTTGGATATTAAGTAAGCGAAATTGGCAATTTAAGCCGTAGTTACGTAATTACAAGTAAAAACAAAAATATTTCATGATAAAAATGAATATTTTCTCTCAATCAACACATTTTTTAAAAGAAAAATACACAACTAATAAACTTACACAGCTATTGTTTATCAAGTAAACGCCATCTATGGTACATACGCGCCGTCAGCTCTATTGATTTAGCTAATGAATTGTCATTTAGCTATAGTCGTCACAAAATAATAGATCATATTTGACACATGTCATCGCAACGTAAATAGTGATGTGAACTGCAATATCGGTAACCAGTTTAAACGATTCTCACGAGAAATCGATTAAAAATTTTAGGAGTTTGTAATCGTTTAGGTTATTTTTCTGTTCATTGCTTTTCAGTTCTAGATATATCAATCAACATTTATTTAAACGTTATACAGTTTAATAGAAATAATAAGTAAGTATTTTAAGTGAGCACAACGGCAACCTGTACTTGTTGTTGTATTGTAGTTATACATTAGCATAGTTCACGAGGATAACCTGTACGTAAATAACAAAATTCTGAAGTAAAACAAAAGACCTCCTTATTGGAATTTTTTTATTTATCAACGTCATCGGAAGATGAACCAAAACCATCTGTTGAGCTAGTTTCACCAGTCCATATAATTAACTCGTTTTCAATTAAATTATCAATATTAACATCTCTGTCAAAATCTTCTTTTATTAGTTTTCTAGTTTTTTCCACCACCTTTCTCCAGTCTTCCTTTGTTACTTTAGTACATGCTTCCTTTAATAAAGTCATCATTTTTTTTGTGGAGAACGGTGGCTTAGTATTATTACGTCCTGCGTAGCCTGTAAAAAAAAAACACTGTTGTAAAATAGTAATGTTCCTTCACAGTGATATTACAAATTCGAAAGTTTATATGTTACCTCTTTACATTTGTACTTTATTAAAATATGCTACTAGTACAAAATAAGTCTTAATATATACGAATTTAAAATAACAGTATTAAATGCAAAAATATTAACCTTTAATTTGAGCCCAAATCAACTCAATAGCATTGTATTGACAGTGGTACGGCGGTGTCCTTATAATTTTATGTCCATGCTCAAGTGCCAATTCATCAATTTCATACCTAAGTTTTGTAGGTCTATGCTCTCGCACTAATCTTAACAATTCCACTTTCAATAGCTCCATGTCAGCTTCGACACCATTCCTCTGTAGCCATGCCACCAAATCAGCCTTTTTATTTGCCTGAGTCGGCGCTCGATCTATTTGAACCGAATGATACGATGCATTGTCCATAATTATTGTACATTGTTCGGGGAGGTTCTGAAGTAAAGTTTTAAACCACTCTTTAAATTTGTTTGCGTCCATTTCTTCGTGATATTCTTTTGTACTTTTTGATTCAAATGCTAGTAAAGCATTATTAACGAAACCTCCCCCGGCTGATCCAGCATGGCAAATTATGAGGCGACCACCTTTTCCCATTGGCACTTTCGAGCTGGATGCTTTAGTGTCGTCGGTCCATGATTGTGGTACTGTGTGGTTTGAGTTCAACCAAGTCTCATCGATAAACACAACATTATCCCAATTTGTAATTTTATTCATTTCTCTCAAAAATGAAACTCTTTGTAATATTAAATCATGTCTTTCCATCATAATATTTCTTTTGTCAGACTTCTTGTATTTAAAACCAATTTTTTTCAAAATTGTAATCAGTGAGGTAGCACTCCCAGTAAATAAGCCAAGCTCTCGAAGTGATACCAACAATTTACTCACAGTAGGGTACTCGTGTCTAGTATAATATGTATAAACATGGTTACGAATAGCGTCTGCATCGAACGTGTCGATACCTGTTACAGGCTTGCTTTTCTTCCTCTTTCTAGGCGTATGTAATACGTTTTCTTGAGAGCCGGAAGGCCCATATTTTTCTTGTATGATGGTGTGTACCGTTCTTTTGCCGATTCCAAGTGCACTTGCGACGCGATTTTGCACTTGTGTCACTGGTAATAGAGGTCCACCATTAAGTGACTCCCTTTCGAAATAGTCGTGTAATTTCACAACCAGTTCGCGAGTCTGGCTATTTAAAGCACGTCCTCTTTTCGACATGTTGAAAAAGAGTTCACACAGAATCAAGTCCAAAATATCCAAGCCAAGGTCAACGAGATTGAAAATAGAAGTAGTCCAAAAGCACAGCCGAGTCACAAGAAAAAACACCACGAATAACCAAGCGTACAGTCAACTTCCAAGACGGCGAAAGACTGCGCGGGCGCCGATGCAGAGTGACGCTAAATCGACATCAGTGTTGCCGTTTCAGAATTTGCGATAAAGAAAAGGAAATACAAATCTGACTTTACGGTTCTGTCTACTATAAATACTAGTATACTCAGTCTAATTTTGTAAGCACTTTAAAATTTTTGTTTTTGTAATTAAATAAGTCATTTTTTTAAGTGAAACCGATTTGACTCGATGATAGTCGGCGCGTATTGGTTACAACATTATTATTAAAAAGAATTATTTCTTTGTAGACTGAAGATGTAACTGTTTATAAGACGTTTCGGAGTAACCCAAAATTGGATTTTATTTTGGAATTCCTGCGAAAATAATACTTGAAATATGTTTCTTTCATAATGTATAGACCTTCAATAAAATTTATGTATTTTTTTAAAACCCAATAAGTTATTAATTGCTTATTTACTGTTTCGTTGATTGCATTCAACGTTACATACTATCGACTGGTTTAGCTGTCAAATATGATCTATTATTTTGTGACGACTTTAGTAATTAAATAAGTCATTTTTTTTAAAGTGAAACCGATTTGACTCGATGATAGTCGGCGCTTATTGGTTACAACACTATTATTAAAAAGAATTAGACTGAAGATGTAACTGTTTATAAGACGTTTCGGAGTAACTCAAAATTGGATTTTATTTTGGAATTCCTGCGAAAATAATACTTGAAATATGTTTCTTTCATAACGTATAGACCTTCAATAAAATTTATGTATTTTTTTAAAACCCAATAAGTTATTAATTGCTTATTTACTGTTTCGTTGATTGCATTCAAAGTTACATACTATCGACTGGTTTAGCTGTCAAATATGATCTATTATTTTGTGACGACTATAATGCATTGTCATTTTATTTTGACCTTGTCACGCTAGATGGCCCTGATATTAAAAAAAACATAATACACTACTTTCGCGTTTTGTTCCTCTATTTTGAAATGTTTCTTCAGTTTATTTATTTCTTAATTTTGTTTTATTTATTTTTTATTTTAAAGTTGTTAAATTAAATATCTAACAATATGAATGGTTTTAGTACTTAAAAATGTTTTTGATTATTTAATGATTTATGATTTTGAAACGTTGATTTTTTTATTGAATTGAACAAAACGCGCAATCGGTTGTTTACTTGTTGTTTGTTTTGGAAGCGAAATTTTGCGAATTTACACGGATATTTTAAATGCTATAAATTAAATACGACTAGTGCTTTGAAATCTGGACTCCGACGAATCTCCCATACACTACGACTTTGCTTTGAAATCTGGACTCCGACGAATCTACCATACACGACGACTTGGCTACGGAAAACTGATCTCGGTTGCAACATCATCTGGGTTTCGTTGATTTTCGATTGAAACAAAACAAAATGTCACCGGTCAAATGTTCGTATTTTATGTGCAATTACACATTCAAACAAAGATCCATGTTTCGGTTCCCAATAAGC